ACACTGTAGGCAGTTTAGCATAAGCTCATTTCTGATACCAATTTTTATGAAGGTTTAATAACTCCAAAAGATGAAACATATGACCAGTCTTGAGAATATTTCCTCTAAAATGTGTAGCCATATCCATCTTGAGTATTTCACACTGAAAGTTGTCCGAAACAATTTATTTGCTTCAATATTTATGCTACTTTAAAGTGAAATGGTCTCTTTTAGCAGAATTCATGAAGTAGTAAAAAGGCCAAGGACTTATGCAATCTAAATTTAAATCCTGACCCCTGGACTTACTAGTTTTATAACTTTGGGTAAATTACTTAACTTCTTTGAGCTTTCGTTTTCTCATCTGTAAAATGGAGGTAACTACATAGGATTAATGTAAGATTTAAATGAGATATGTCTAAAAGCACCTAACAAAGTAAGCATTTTTTAAATAACTTTTAAAATATGGACTAAAGCTAAAACGTTTGTAAAATTAATTAGGCCATGCATGGAGTCATTCCCAGCCTGGCAATTATAATAGGTCTCTAGAAATGGCTGTGTCAGGAGTATTCCATAGACGTTTGTGGGGGCCATAGGATTATTTGATGACTGTAATCTTGAAACAGCTGGAATACTGGGATAGGGAGAAACAGAGATAGGAAGAATAATTTGTTTTTTTGTAGAGGTCTATAAAGTACTTCCTGATAATAACGATAATAAAAACTAATCTTTTGCATAGTTTTTTTAAAAAAAATAATACAAACTTTATAAAGTTTTTTAACATAATTTTTTAAAATGTCATCTCTATAATGGTCTTTTGAATACCTTTATTATACTGATATTAAAGAAGAGGAAACTCAAAGGCTGACTACGATTTTTGAGGTTATACAGCTAAGTAATAGTGAGAATGGAAATTCATATTAAGTTTTTCAACTTTAAATCTTAGTGCTTTCTACTTTAACGTTACTGTTTCCTTGATAGCAGTCACATTTCTCTAGCGTGTGGGGCCCAGTATTTATGATTGCTTTTTCTGTGTTGAGACAGAATGAATCCCCAGCTGATTCTAACGCCCACCTCTGGTTAAAAATCACTGCTCTCTGCCAGTCTTTTAGCTCTTCTTTGCCTGTTTGCTTAGTACATCTAAATTAATGCAGACAATATGAATAAGACAAGGAGTTAGACTGATTAATACACTAATTTAATTTTTACTCCTCCAGATGTTTAGGTAGATCAACACCACTTTTGAAAAGGCAGTGCAACCATAGTTTCCTGGTTGCAAAACCTAGTTCTCTCTGTGAAGGCAAAAGCTCAAAAATGCCCTTTGTATGAAAGAACAGCATCATAATAGGGGTGGGAGAAGTGGATACTCTCACATTCCCCACCACCACCAAAAATTAATCAAATTGCGCAGTGAAAATTTCAAAACTGAAAAATGTTTTCAAACATACAGATCAGATTCTATTGGAAACAAGACTTTAAAATGAGAAAATGTAGCGTTTGCTGTTTGAGGCAAGAACCTCGGGGTCTTGCAGTGAGTGAACTGTTTTCTAACTCGCAGGAGTTATCAAAATGGACTTGAGCAGATGGCTACAAATTTAATTGTGTTTACGTTAGCTTTTAGTTTTCTGAGCAGACATGATTTCACTAGAAGCTATTTACGATGAATTTTTGGCTGCTGCTTCATTGAAACGAATGTGTTTGGGATGTTCTTGTATATAGGTGTACCTTTCTTGATACAGAAAATACAGTTCTGATTATTTTTTTATTACTAGGGTTTAGGGAGCTTTTGGTTAAATTGACTGACATTAGTAAAACGACATTCTAAATTAAACTAAAAAAAATTTTTTTTTAAATTTAGTACCTGCAAAACATCTAAGGGATCATCTTTGTCCTTGTCAATTTTAAAATAACAATATTAAAAGATACATCATTCTGTTAACTGTAATATACATATTGGATTCGTCTTTTTTATACTATAAAATTTCTAATAGGGTAAAATATTTCAATAAAATATTGACATTATTCTCATCTCAGAGATTTTTTAAAACCTACTGTCATAGGTCAGCATAAAAGTATTGTTAAGACAGTTATTTTTCTGTCAGCAGTGCATTCAGAATTCTGTACTTAGTGGACGTCTACCTATTTCCATTTGGTGTTCAGATTCTGATAGGCTTACATGGCAGAAATGTAGCAATACTTTTTCTTTGTTTTTTAAAAGCTGGTTTTTCTCATTTTCTTAATTTGTGATAAATGAGGTTTGATGGTGCATTTAGACTTAAATCTAGATACATTTTTAATGTATTCCAAAAAGTGGAAAATGTAATACGTATTCTCCATCAGTTCTGAGACATGGTTTTTTCTCCATACTTAACAGCTCTGAAAATGAGATGTGTCTTAAAAATCACTGTTGTGTCATGGCTTAATGCAAGTATTTTTTTTTTTTTTAACATGGTAGTATACATAACTAATGGTGAAAACTTATAGTAATCATTGATATATTTGATAAAAAGGGGCAGTTGACTTTTTGATGTTCATTGTGGAAATTATATCCATGTAATTCTTTTTTATGATGTGATATATATTTGTGGTGAAAAAATTCTAAGTAGTGGAAATATACCATGTTATTTGGAAGTACAGGCCTTTACTAAGACCTTTGAGTTCTTCCTTTGGATCTTTTTTTTTTTCTCACTGCTATCATCCTAGTGTAGGCACTTTACATTAAACTGGTTTCCTAGCTGTGAGTATTCCATTGAATGCCATCCAGAACAGTAAAAGAAAGGTGGAGATCAAGAGAAGGAGAAAAGAGGTGGGGGAGTGGACCTTCAGAGTCAAGAAAACTGGGGGGAAGGAAACTAGGGGCAAGGATAAATAGCATTTTCCATTTACCCGTCTTCTTTCCTTGTTCTTCTTCTGCTTAAGACTCTGATTGTGATATATTAGCCTGTGTGCTACCCAGTGTTGTTGTTAACGTGCCATCAAGTCGATTCCAACTCATAGCAACCCTATGCACAACATAATGAAACACTGCCCGGTCCTGCGCCATCCTCACAGTCAGTCCGATTGTTGCAGCCAGTGTGTCAGTCCATCTCGCTGAGGGTCTTCCTATTTTTCAGTGACTCTCTACCTTAGCATGACTTCCTTCTCTAGGGACTGGTCCCTCTTGATAACATGTCTAAAGTATGTGAGACGAAGTCTTGCCATCCTTGTTTCTAAGGAACATTCTGGCTGTACTTCTTCCAAGACAGATTTGTTCATTCTTCTGGAAGCCTATGGTATATTCTATATTCTTTGCCAACACCATAATTCAAAGGCATCAATTCTTCGGTCTTCCTTATTCATTGTTCAGCTTTTGCATGCATATGAGATGATTGAAAATACCATGGCTTGGGTCAGGTGCACCTTAGTCCTCAAAGTGACATCTTTGCTTTTTAATTCTATAAGATTTAAGTCTCTGATTGTGATCTATTAGCCTGTGCGCTACCCAAATAATTAGCTAAAATCACCCCTACCAACTTCCTAGAATCCACAAGCATAAACTCTTCTTACTAAGGCCTCTCCTTGTTCTGTAGAGGTTGCCCTGGACTCCCTCTAGCCCTATAGATAAATCATCTGCTGGTATCTTACTTTCTGTGACCCAAAGAGGGTCTGTACGGTCTGTGTTTCTTTTGAATATGCTGTCTTAAAAGTGAATAACAAAAGGTGGAACCACTGCATACAGAATGCATTTTTCTACCTGGAATTGTTACAGATACGTGCATAATAGAATTTTTTGGTTTTTAAGGAGGTAAAGGAATATCAAACAGATACTTAATTTTAAAATACTTCTGTATCTTTTTCTGTCTTTCAGCATCTAGACAGAGATAGGTGCATAGTCTTTCCTCTTTAACTTACTGTATTTTTATTTCCAAAGACAGTAATTTATTTGTAGAATAGATTAATATTTCATATTCCTGCTTTAGCTTTCCATTCTCTAAGCTTACTGAGAATGGTTATTCTTGAACAATTTATCTGTAATCTATAATAATGGCATGTTTTAGTTATTCTGCATTTAAAAAGAGTCACAAAGCATATTTGGCTAATATACTCCACTTTAAGCAAGATTTCCTTTAAAATTAAAATTTAATATTAATAAAATACAATTTAAATTAAAATTTTAGTATAAAACATGAATTAACTTCTTTTTCAAAAGGCACTTTTACTTTATAAAGGAGTTTACCCTAGGAGTATTTTAAATACTCCATAGAGTTTTTAAATACCTTGCAGGACCTTCTGGAAGCCACACTCTGTTTGCTGTCTGGAGTAGGGTTGTCATTGCTGTGGAGAAGGATTATGAAGAATTGCTGCATACATACAATGTCTGAACCCTCAATTTTCCGAAAGTTTTTTTTAGAATCTACACAAAAGCTTTGGTCTACCTTTGCATTTTCTTGAGTTAGGCAACCTTGTAAAAGTCTCATATTCAGAAATTCATTAAATTTATCTAATTTTTTTTTTTTAGAATTTTAAAT